CAAGCCAAACCCACCCACTATTTTTAGGGGAACACCCAAGAAATCCAACTCCACAGGGCGCTGGTGTCCTTTCAGCTAACTCCACGCAGCGCTGGCATCAGCCTGGGCTGCCTGCAGCCAGCCGGGGGCTTCGCTGTCCCCTGCCCACCCCGACCCAAACCCCTCCGAATCAGTGACCCCCCAGACGCAGACGGGGCTCTGCCTTTTGGCAGCACGCACACGGGCACGCTGGAGCAAAGGGAAAAGGTCCCAGCCCACGCCCAGCAGGCCTGGTTCCCTGCCCGCTCGCTCGCACCAGCAGATCTGGAGCCGTGAGCAGAAGGAGCACCGCAGACACGTCAACGCGGCTACGCGTTCTCCCTCCATCTGGAAGGATCTGGGGGTCTGGTTACAACCAGGAATGTAATTAGAGATAGCGAGCTCATCCTGCGCTGAGCTGGTGCAGAGCAGGCGAGCCAGGTGGTCTCCCCATGGTCTTTCATTACACCGGGATGGAAGCAGCACCCAAGAGCACCCAGGTGACGTTTCCAGTCCCAGGCTGACTTTGCAATCCCAGAGCGGGTCAGACACCCGCAGGCACCCCGCTACCTGCGCTCGTGACCTCCAAACAGAGCCAGCATCTGCCAAAGCCACTGCAGAGAGCAGATGTGGCACCGTGGACTCGCACCCCCACCCTCCCACCCCAGCTCCTCGCAGACCTCCGTGCAAACAGGCTGACGCGCCGGCCAAGGCCAGCCTGGAGCACCTCTCGGCTCCATTTCCAGCCACCCTCTGGCTCACTGCAAAGGGAACCGCTTGCAGAGTTTGGATTCAGCCCCCAAAACCAGACTGGGTATCTCAGCGCCTGACCCCGCTCATCAAGAACTGGGAGGACACTGGTGTGGGAAGGGCTCATCCTCTTCTGCACGCGGGCATCGAAAAGCCCCTGGCTTTCTGGGTGTCCTGGTGGAAGACAGGGTGACCATGAGCCAGCAGCGTGCCCTGGGTGCCAAGAAGGCCAATGGGATCCTGGGGTGCATGAGGAGGAGTGTG